AATTATTTTTTTTTCTTTCAAAGGACTTTTGTTCTTCTCCAAAAAGCTTGTCCTTTTTTTTTAACCCTTTTTAAAGTTTCTTGAAAAAAAAAGTTTTCTTTTAACTTCTGGGCGGCAAATTAATTTCAACGGGAATTTTTGTTTAAACGGGACCTTTTTTTTGCAAAAAAAAAATTTTAGGCAAAAAAAGGGGACAAAAAAGTTTTAGGGGCAATCTGGGCCAAAAAAAAAAAAATTTTTCAAGGCTTTTTAAAGGCCTTCCCAAAAAGTTTTTTTTTTTTTGCCTTCTCTTTGAAAAAAAAATTTGTTTGCTTTTTTTTCAAGGGTTTTTTTTTCAAATTTTGCCCCTTTCCAAAAAACCAACCTTTTAAAGGGAAAATAAAAAAAATTTTGAATTTCCTGTTAGGGCAAAGAACAAAAAACAAAGTTTTTTTCAAGATAAAAAAAAAGGATTTGAAAACTTTGCAAAAAACTTTTCTTTTTTTTTTTTTCCCCAACCTTTTTTTCCTTTCTTTTAGGGAATTGTTTTTTTTTTAGAAACAAAAAAAACAGGGGATTGTTTTTTTTTCTTGGGGGAATTTTACCAAAAAAAAAAAACTGTTTTAAACTTTTTTTGTTAATTTTTTAAAAAGTTTTTAACCACCAAAACAGGCTTTTTTTTCAAACGTTTTTTTTCAAGGGGAAGAGAACTTCTTTTCAAAGGTTCATACTCTTGACATTCTGCTGCCCTGTCCTTCTTCTCCTCCTCCCTCCTCCCTCCTTCTTTCCTCTCTTCTCCTCCCTTCCCTGCTATTCCCTGCTTCCTCCTCCTCCTCTTAACTACTTCCCTCTCTGTCACCTGCCTCATCCACCAGAGCGTCAACTACTATCCTGATCTTTCGTACGCTTCTCACTTGTTTTTATGTCCGCCTAAACAGTCAGCAAAACCAATAAGGGTCATAATGGTCGGATTTTCTGCTTAAAATTTTTTTTTTTAAAACTTGATGCTAACTGTGTCACATTATACATATTCTTCTGCAATTTTGACTCATTTGTGTCGATATGCTTCCGGAGTTTATTTGTATACTTGTCGTTTGACTAGAAGGCAATTATTCCTCACTGCTCTGCTTCAAAGTCCACCTCCCCAGAGCAGCCTTTCCCGACCTGACCGTCACCTAAAGCAGACCTCGTATCTTTCCTCTTCCTTCCTTTGTCTCTTCCTCTTCCTGTCCTTTTCATAGAAACACACACTGAGAACAGCAGCTTCCAGAAGCAAATCTAGGCCCCTGCTTAACCCTGCGCCGAGCCTTCTTTTTAACTGGATGTCGTTAGCAGAGGAGAGGCTTGCTGTGTTTGGTCGGCCAAGGAAGCAGATGCCAGCTGGGCTGGACAGGTAAGTGGATTCACTGGGGCAGAAGTGCGGCGAAAGGTGGAGGCGAAACCTTCACACCTTTGATGTAGGGGTCTGCAAGCCTGTGGAAGCAGAGGGAAGGAAATGCAAGTGCGTGGGTAGGAAGATTTCTCAGCCTGCTGTGTAGTTCCAGGAAAAAGCTTCCGCCAGGGCCCATGGGGAATTGTTGGGCCAAAGTCACCCATTGGAGGAGACGCAGATCTTGTCAGAATGAGTGTACCTCAGCTACTGCCCTGTGCCCAGTCGGCTGGGTGCGCGGAACAGCCCACGAAAGTGTGGGGCCTCTCCTGTGCAGCACAGTGGTGGAACCCAGAGTTGGGGGCCAGCTTCCCTGCCTCAAGTGTCTGGAGTCAGACCTGAGCAGGGCGTTCTCAGGCCTGCCCAGCGACTCCGTAGCAGCTGCTCCTGGCTGTCTGGCTCAGGGACTTAATGAGGAGCTACCCTGCTCAGGGTTGAGACCTGGTTGATGAATTTCACTCTCAGAATCCTTCCATTTGTCTAAACCAAAGGGACTCTGGAAGGAGAGTGACTTTCGGAATGAGAACGGAGACCCCTAAACCAGACCCTAATCAAACCCAAAAGTCTGAACCTGGAGCTTGTCTGGGGGAAAAGAGCTGCCAAAACCTCTTGCGGCTTTCTGTTTTTGACAGAATCTTAATTACCTTTAGAAAAGGGAGAAGAGTGACAAGGTAAATAAATGTTTTAACCTATCTTTGTTTCACCCTTCTCTGAGGAAGCAGTTATGAAAAGCATGAAAAATCGGAGATGGAAATCATGATTTCCCTCAATTTATTATTTGAAAATCCCAAAACCTATGTAAAAGTGAAAGGAACTTTTAAATATATACCCTTTCTTAGATTCCCAATTATATATTTGGCCATGTTTTGTTATCTGTGTGTGTGTACTTTTTGGCATTAAACCATCTGGAAGTAAAATTATAGACCTCACGATAATTCACCTCTAAACACCCGAGCATACATCTCCTGAGAGTAAGAAAAACAATTCCCTAGGTAATAACTACAATTACCATTATCATTCCTAAGAAAATTAACTTATTCAATAAATACCCTCTTAATTTATAAGTCTTTATTTCAATTTCCCATTGACTCCTAGTGATAGGAAAACCACATCAGTGGTTGTCTGGGGTGAGGGAGAGCATTTGAAGAAAATTTTTGAGGGGACAGAAATGTTTAACTTTTATTGGGAGCGTGTTACATGGGTAAAAATGCCAAAACTGAGAACTGGACACTTAAAATGGGTGTCTTTTCAGGATGTAAGATTATACTCGTAAGACTGATTTTTTGTAAAATTTCCCCAGTGTTTCCAAAAGTGTGTGTTTTAAAATTTTTTGTAGAAGACAGGGTCTCACTATGTTGCCAGGCTGGTCTTGAATTCCCAGGCCTCAAGCAGTCCTCCCGCCTTGGCCTCCCCAAAGTGCTAGGATACAGATTTGAGCATCGCCACCTGGCAGTTTACACGTTTTCCACTCCGCCGAAAACCACTGTAGAGAAGTGGTGGTTGCTTTTCACAATTGTCACCCAGGGAGATATGGGGCCAATTATGTCCCACTTACTGGCAAGGTCAACTCACCTTGTACAATTGCCTGCTCAGACTCAGGGACAGCCATTTATTTTCTTTAAGCAAGCCCCTGGTTCTTGGACAGTGGGGCAATTGGCATTTTAGAAATACCAAGGAACTCGGTGGCTAGATGTGCTTCATGGCTACTGGCTGTCAATGTTTCTTAGGCCTTTATTGGACAGAGCTTGGAAATCCACATTATTTATTGAAATCTTGAGTTGACAAATTCGTATCCAACACCACAGGGTTCTTCTCCCTTCCCCACATTCTATATTTGCAAACTCCCTTCTCACACAGTGGTTCCCTTGCCATTTATCACTTTGCTCTATGTTTTTACAATGCATGTAAAAGGGACTTTCAGAATTTACCAACTACAAATGCCATGACAATGAAGATCTGCTGAGTAAAGTTCAAGGTATCTCAAGTTATTTTTGTCCTTAAAATATCCCACTAAAGGATGTATGCTCAACAATTAAAATGTTCAAACTTACTTAGTGCAAATTTCCTTTTTCTTGTGGTACAAGATTATTAATTGATACAAAAGTTTTCATTCTGTTCCTGTTGATGATTCAAATTCAGTATTTGTCTTTACATCTATTTTATTTAATTTGGTTGTCGAATATTTAAACATGAATGTTCAAAGTCAAACTAG